ATCTGAATCTTGATCTCAGCTCAGGTAATGATCTCATAGTTTATGAGATAAAGCCCTGCATAGGATTCTGTGCTGATAGTGCAGAGACTGCTTGGGATTCTCTCTCTTCCATTCAAGATAAATAAACATTAAAAAATATATATATATGATCCAGTAATTCCACTACTGGGTATTTACCCAAAGAAAATGAAAACACTAATACAAGATATATGCATTCCTATGTGTATTGCAGCACTATTTACAGCATCCAAGACATGGAAGCAACTCAAGTGTACAATAAGTAAATGGATAAAGATGCCGTAATGTACACATACACACACATGAATATTACTCAGACATAAAAAGAAGATCTTACCATTCCCAACACAGATAGACTTCAAGGGAATTATAGTAAATGAAATATGTCAGAGAGAAATATACCATGATTTCACTTATATGTGTAATCTAAAGATCAAAAACAAAAAACAGAAACAGACCCATAAATACAGAGAACAAATGTGGTTGCCAGAGGGGAGAATAGTGGAGGATGGGCAAAATGGGTGAAAAGGAGATACAGGCTTCCAGTTAGGAATAAGTTATGGGGATAAAACATACAGCATAGGGAATACAGTCAGTATTGTAATACCATTGTATGGCAACAGATGGTAACTACACTTACAGTGAAGATAACATAGATTTGAGCCATTATGTTGTACACTTGAAACTAACATTGTAGGTCAACTTCAATTAAAAAAAAGAATTAAAATCATAAAATCTCTCAAGTGACTACAAAGTAATTACCAAATAACATTTATCATACTTATTCTGCCATTCTACAAGTGCCTTTCAAATTCAAAATATTACACAAGTATTCTATCGTATTATACAGCTCTCAGTGAATGTGCATTACTTTATGCCATAGGAATAAAGGGCTCTAAAAATTTTTTAATTTTTTTTTAATGTTTTATTTATTTCTAGGAGAGAGAGAGACAGCGTGAGCAGAGGAGGGTCAGAGAGAGAGGGAGTCACAGACTGAAACAGGCTCCAGGCTCAGAGCAGGCAGTCAGCACAGAGCCCGACGCGGGGCAAAAACCCACGAACCGCGAGATCATGACCCAAGCAAAAGTCGGACGCTCAACCGACTAAGCCACCCAGGCGCCCTTTTTTTTTTTTAATTTTTTTTTTTAATGTTTTATTTATTTCTAGGAGAGAGAGATAGAGACAGCGTGAGCAGGGGAGGGTCAGAGAGAGAAAGGGCTCTAAAAATTTTAAATTCTATAATCCCATTTTCAATATTCACATATCTGTAATACTGAAATAATAGGGAATAAAAGATACAGCACAGGGAATATGGTCGGTGATACCATAATCAGGCTATACAGTGAGAGCTGGTAGCTACACTTATGGTGACAGTAGCATAATGTATAGAGATGCTCAATCACTATGTTGCACACCTGAAACTAATGTAACATTTTATATCAACTATATGCACATGAAAATATTTTTAATACTGAAATATAATCAGAACATATTTTACCCAATGTATTTAAATCCTGGCTCTCTGTTAGATAGTGGTTTTGTAAATGTACTGATTATACTTCGTTGAACTTAATGTCATTTAGAAAACGAAGGTAATATTTAGCTGGCAGCTGAGCATTACGTGAATTAGCATAGTTCAAGTGCCTCACTCTGCAGTGTTTCCTACACCAGGTATTGTTCTAGGTGCTGAGGATATGAGCATAAGTGACAAACTGTTACCAACAAGTTTCCTGTCCTCACAGAGGAAGAGAAGCTGGCTAAACTGACCGAGGAGATCTGGGAGGAAAACTGGACCAGCCATGGCATCAGGAAAGCCTTTAAAATACAGTTCCAAAGAAGAGTAAATGTAAAAAAATGTACTTGGGATGGGCTGAAAAGGGACATAAGGATTTTGAAGAAAAACATTTATATCACGATTGAAGTCGTGTTTTCATAACAGCTTACATTTGTCAAAACTCATTAAAATGCACACATACATAACTAGGGGGTTTTTACTCTATGTACATTACACCTCAATAACTCTGATTTCTAAGATGTGTAGGTCACGAAATATTTTTGAAAAGGGTAGGGGAGCTGTTCTAGATGAAAGGATACTAAAGAGGTGTAAAAAATGGATGTATTATATGATCTTTGACTGGATTTGGTACCGCTCCCCACCAAAAGCTAAAAGAATTCTTGGGAGTCAAATACGGAAATCTGAATATGGACTGTATTAAAATGTATTGTATCAAGGCTAAAAAAAGTCATGAGAAAATATATTTACAATGCTTTACTATACTGTATTAAAGAAAAAAAAAATCACATGTAAGTGGACCTACGCAGTTCAAACCCATGTTGTCTAAGGGTCAACCATAGGTTAGAAGCAGCTGAAAGGTAAGAATCACGTCTTGGGCTTCTTTCACATACTAATGCCCTCCCAAATAACTTGTCTTTAGTGTACAGTTTCTCAGTCTCAACACTACTGACATTTTGGACCAGATAAATCTTTGTAAGAGGTGATCTTGTGTCTTACAGGACTTTTAGCAACATCTACAGCCTCTACCCACTAGACACCAGGAGCACCTCACTGTCAGCATAATAAAAAAATCACTGTGGACATTGGCAAGTGTCTCCTGGGAGGCAAAATGATCTCCAACTGAGAAATACTGTTCTAGTAGATGCTGGGCTCAGTTAAGTGCTTCCCAATGGCTCATGTGTCAAGGAGGAACACTTATTAAAAAAAAAAAAAAAAAAAAAAAGAGGAACACTTATACCATCATCAAAGTCATGAAACAGGAAGTAAGGTACTTTCTATAGTGTTTTCTATGTGCCCAACTCCTTCTGTAAGCAGTTAGAAAGAATATTGGGGCGCCCGGGTGGCTCACTCAGTTAAGCATCTGACTGCAGCTCAGGTCATGATCTCACGGTTCGTGGGTTAGAGGCCAGCATCGGGCTCTGTGCTGATAGCCAGCTCAGCCTGGAGCCCGTTTCCAATTCTGTGTGTGTGTGTGTCTCTCTCTCTCTGACCCTCCCCTACTCATGTTGTCTCTCTCTCAGAAATAAATAAAACATTAAAAAAATTTTTTTAAATAAAAAAATATAAAGTATACCCAATACTGAAAATTCTCAAACTCAACCACCTCTTTTATAAAACTCTCGCCAAAGCTGTCAAGAAAAATGAATGTCACATTCCCATTTGACATTACATCAACAAAGAAAAGAAATAACCAGGGGTGCCTGGGTGGCTCAGTCGGTTAAGTGTCCAACTTTAGCTCAGGTCATGGCCTCGCAGTTCCTTAGTTCAAGCCACATATCAGGCTCTCTGCTGTCAGCATGAAGCCTGCTCTGGATCCTCCGTCCCCGTCTCTTTGTCTCTCCCCAGCTCACACATGCACTCGCAAAAATAAACATTAAAAAAATAACAAATAACCAATCTGAGAAAACTTTTGATTAAACATTAATGTTTATTTAGAAAATATTAACAAAAGTATACTTTGTCCCTTTCTAGAGTCTTTATTCTACAGATTTTTTTTTAATGTTTGTTTATTTTTGAGACAGAGGGTGAACAGGAGGTGGGCTGAGAGAGAGGGAGACACAGAATCTGAAGCAGGCTCCAGGCTCTAGGCTGTCAGCACAGAGTCGACACTGGGCTTGAACCCACGAACCGTGAGATCGTGACTTGAGCCAAAGTTGGATGCTTAACCAACTAAGCCCCCTCTAGAGTCTTTATTCTAATACTCATGATTCTCTAGGAATTCCTCCATGCACTCAAGCTTTTGATATTTTTTGCTATGTATAGAGATGCATAGACCTATAGATACATAGTGGAATGCATTTAAATTACCTCAAATATAAATTGGTTCAGCTAGGAAATGGGTAAAAACAGGCTAAACTGAATATATAGGTTCTATAATGTTCTTTTTTTCTCTTTGGTAAAACATTTTATAAAGAAATAACAAAACACGGGCTGCATCTTGCTGAACATGAAATAACCAACTCTTGCCCATAAAGCAATGTTTCTTAGCTAGATACTTGGTTGGCAGTCACTTAAATATTAAAAAATAAATTTAGGGGACGCCTGGCTAGCTCTGTTGGTTAAGCATCCAACTCTTGATTTCAGCTCAGGTCATGATCTCACTCAATTGTGAGATCAAGCCCCATGTCATGCTCTGTGCTGGCTGCATAGAGCCTGCCTAGGATCCTCTCTCTTCCTCTCTATGCCCCTCTCCAATTTGTGCTCTCTCTCAAAATAAATGAACATTTAAAAAAATAAATAAATTTAGTTTTCCAGAGAGGTGTGGTCTAAGTGCAAATCTCTTTTGCAAAATCTAAGCCTGGCTATAGTTCTTTAATGTTGTTGATCACTATAAATTGCTACAAATATACAAAGATACAGGTTTGGGGGCACCTGGGTGGCTCAGTCCGTTGAGCATCCAACTCTTGATTTCGGCTCAAGTCATGATCTCTGTGAGTTTGAGCCACATATCAGGGTCTGCACTGACAGAACGAGGCCTGCTTGGGATTCTCTCTCTCCCTCTCCCTCTCTCAAAAATAAATAAAAATTTTTAAGAAGTTCCCATTATTATAAAATTTTCCTAGTATAGAAACAACTTTGCAAAGAGAAAGGAAATACAAAATAATGGGCAGTACATTATTATATGTCAAGAACATACATTCATGTTATAGGGAAATGTTTCTCAATAGACTGTAGGGGGTGAAGGGAGCCTCCAGGAGACATTTGGCAATTTCTGGAGACAATTTTGGTTGTCACAACTGGGATGGAGTGGGGTTGAGGTGGTGCTACTGGCATTTAGTGGTTAGAAACCACAGGGAGATTGTTCAAATAACCTACAATGTATAAGACACTCCTCACTCAACCCAAAATGTCAACAGTGCTGAGACTGAAAAACTGCAGTTAGTAAAATCAGAAAAGGTAGAAACGTACACAAACACACCCTTCAATTGAAAGATAAACACAAAAAAATTTAAATATACACACTTACATTAATTTGCTGTTTTTCAACAAGAATATAACTTAGATTGCATTTTTTCATAAAATGCACTGATAACACTGGTGGTGCATCTGGATCAATAGGAGCATATGCAGCAGGGACTTGGAGAATTCTAAATGAAGAATATAGAGTCAGCATAGGACATCTGTTAAAAATCATCTTTAAATATTTCTATTTATCTATGCACTTTACTACTGACTATATCAGAAATGCCCAATGTATTTGCTGACACATCGTTGGTTATGGTTTTTATTTTGTTTTTAAGGCAGAATATCCACTATTAAATTTTTATCACTTTAAGACCCAAAATCAGTTAGTTGTTTTAACTAAAAGTACTCTGAGGAAGGGGTGCCTAGCTAGCTCAGTTGGTAGGTAGAGCAAAAGACTCTTGATACGGGGGTTGTAGTATCAAACCCCATGTTGGATGTAGAGATTACTTAAAAATAAAATCTAAAAAAAAAGTACTCTGAGGTATACTTTGGGGACAATAGATTTTTGCACATAATAAATTCTCAATAAAATTCTGTCAATGATTGAATGAAAGCCAAATTTTAACTTTTTTTGCTTGACATTTATACATTAATCTACTAACACACACATATTATGGGATGAACATCAACTTTTCTAATTCTTTAATAGCTTTTATTTACTGCAGAACCCTAATACAGAAATCACTATAAAAAGATAATATTCTGTAACAACTTAATGATCATTTTGCAAATAATTGTTTGAATTAGTGTCCTCAGTTCATAGCTCAATTTTTATAAACCAACATCTAAAACCTCACTTATTCATTCATTTACTGAATACTTTGAGTACTTAAACCTCAGTCTCAGGAGGAAAAACAGTTACTTCTGAAATACTTGTTTTCTTTGATATAAAGAACTTATGACCACTTTCTTTTGGCAGACAAATGAAGCCCTTATATTTTGGAGATTTTTAAATATTCTACAAATGAAAAGTTCTGGTCTCCTAAATAAATTCATATCAATTAAATGATTAAAAATAATTTTTGGGAAATACGAACTTCTTTAGCCTCTCTAAAATTGACCAACCAATACTATTCTGTATACTACTGTACTTTTATGTAAGATACAACATTCTATGTATTAAAGGATTATAAATTAGGTTAGAAAACTAAAAATTCAGTATTTAAAACAATTACCCTAAAATCCAAGAGGGTAAGTTAATCCCAGGATGGCAGTAGAGACCAACTTCCCGAATTCCTTGAAAGTCACAGTGTAATAGCAGAAAATTTGATAATTCTGAGGCAGCATGAACCACAAACTTATAGGTATAATAAACTGGAGGCTGGTTGTTATACTCATCAAAACATACAGCTATTTTATCTGAATAAATCGAGGCAGCCCGATGTACCAATTCCTGAAGAGTCATTTCACTGGTTTATCGAAGCCTCATTGGTAGCAGAGAACTCTACCTATATACAGAATTATGGGGATAGGGAGTTTTAGGAAACATGGCAGGGTGAGAAAGGGAGAGAGAAACTTCTAAACAAATCATTCCTCACAAAAGGAACTATATCAAAAACAATCTCGGAACTTAGGAAGTATCTATGTTGAGAACAAGGAGTTGAAAATTAATCTGGTATCATCAGGAAAAAAATTTTGGAGAGGACTGGTATACCCAGATAAGAATGAAACAGGTAGAAATGTAGAATTCTCTCTCAACTTACCACAATGTAACATATATATATATATATATATATATATATATATATATATGTAAATAACCAATAAAACCCACTTTAGGGGCCCCTGGTGACTCAGTCAGTTAAGTGTTTGACTTCAGCTCAGGTCATGATCTCACAGTTCATGGGTTCAAGCACTGTGTCCAGTTCTGTGCTGACAGCTCGGAGCCTGGACCCTGCTTCAGATTCTGCGTCTCCCTCTTTCTCTGCCCCTCTCCTGCTCAAGCTCGGTGTCTGTCTCTCTCAAGAATAAACATTAAAGAAAAAAAAAAAAAAAAACAATTTAAAGCACCACATCCTAAGTTTTTTTCATTTTTCTTTGTTTTCCATCCCAGATTAAGATAAAGTGGTTAAAATCCTACAAAACGTCTTTGACGAGCTTAATACAAAAACTATGCTTTTAGGAACTGAACTCAGGTGAAAACAAAGTCAACCTTTGTTAGAAAAAAGGAAAATCTATCTAAATCCATCCAATTTTAGTCCACTGTATACAAACTACGCTATTTATTATAATACTTCAGAGGTCGCATCAAGTCCCTTTTATAAATTGTTGAGTAAGCTCTTAATCTTCTATTTTTAAGACTGCCACAAAATTCATTTAAATTTAAACTCTGTAGTATTACAACTCAATAAAACATTGAATCAACACAGTATTCTCTAGACTTCTCAATAAAAATATGAAGAGTCTAAAGTGTTTTTAATGTTTATTTTTGAGAGCAAGGGAGCTCACACACACACATGCAAAAGCAGGGGAGAGGCAAAGAGAGAAGGGGACAGAGTATCTAAAGCAGATTCTCTGCTGTTATCAGAGAGTGGGGCTGAAACTCATGAACCAGAGATCATGACCTGAGCCAAAGTTGGACACCTAACTGACTGAGCCACTCAGTCATCCCAGAGTAAAAACAGTACTTCATCAAAAACAAAAAACAAAAACAAAAAACCTTAGGGGTAGTGATTTAAAAGAAACAATTTCTAGTATTTGTAAAGTAAAGGTGATTTTTCTTCTGTGAACTCTTTTCCATATTTCAAAAGCAAGTAAGATTTACCAAGTAGCCTATTTTAATCAAGTTTATTTGTTCATATTTACTTGAACTGACTTCATTACCAATTCAAAATAAAATTAACCAGGTCGCCTGAGTTAGTTAGCTCAGATAGTTAAGCATCGACTCTTGATTTCAGCTCAGGTCATGATTGCACAGTTTGTGGGACTGAGCTCCTTGTAGGGTTCTGTATTGGCAATGTGGAGGTTGTCTGAGATTCTCTCCCTCTTAAAATAAACTTTAAAGAAATAAAAAAAAAATAGGGGCATCTGAGCAGCTCAGTCGGTTAAGTGTCTGACTATGGCTCAGGTCATGATCTACTGGTTGGTGGATTCAAGCCCCACCATCTGTGTTGACATCGCAGAACCTAGAGCCTGCTTAAGATTCTGTGTCTCCCTCTCTCTCTGCCCCTCCCCCCCACACACTCTGTCATTCTCTCTCAAAAAATTAAATATATAATTTTTTAATTAAAAAAATAAAAAATAAGGGCGCCTGGGTGGCTTAGTCGGTTAAGCGTCCGACTTTCGCTTAGGTCATGATCTCGCGGTTCGTGGGTTCGAGCCCCGCCTCGGGCTCTGTGCTGACTGCCAGCTCAGAGCCTGGAGCCTGTTTCAGACAGAGTCTGTGACTCCCTCTCTTTCTGACCCTCCCCTGCTCACGCTGTCTCTCTCTCTCTCCTAGAAATAAATAAAACATTAAAAAAATTTAAAAAATTAAAAATAAAAAATAAAATTAACTTCATCCATGTCATTTAATTGATATGAATTAGAAAACAAAAAAGAAAGCAAAATAAACCAATAACCATGGAGACCCATAAGGTCTGAAAATGCTATGATTTCTAAATATAAAGTTTAAAAATAGAAAATCCTTGGTATTTACAGTATGCACTTTTTAAAATATATTTAATTTTTTTTTAATATTTTTATTTTATTTCTAGGAGAGAGTGAGACAGCGTGAACAGGGGAGGGTCAGAGAGAGAGGGAGACACAGAATCAGAAGCAGGCTCCAGGCTCTGAGCTGGCAGTCAGCACAGAGCCCGACGTGGGGCTCGAACTCACAAACCATGAGATCATGACCTGAGTGAAAGCCGGCCGCTTAACCGACTAAGCCACCCAGGCGCCCCATTTTTAATTTTTAACATTTATTCATTTCATTTTTGAAAGAGAGAGGGAACAGGGGAGGGGCAGAGAGTAAAGGAGACACAGAATCCAAAGCAGGCTCCAGGCTCCGAGCTATCAGCCCAGAGCCTGACATGGGGCTCGAACTCACTAGCTATGAGATCGTGACCTGAGCAAAGCTGGACGCTTAACCAACTGAGCCACCCAGTCGTCCCTAGTATGCACTACTATAAATATTTTCTTTTGTGATATAAAAGATAAAAATTTTTAGCCTTTCCTCATACACACAAATTATCATTAAAGATGACTGTCAATATTACCCCTTAATTATTCCAAATGAAGTTATGAGACAAGGTATAGTCAGTGAAGATAACTACTGCTACTCCCTCCCACTATGAATAACAAATTGCCTACATTACACTAAGGCATTTTCACAAAAATCTTATATGTGCCAAAAAATTGCATTTTTTTAATGCAAAAGCAATTATAGCACTTAGTTTTCCATGAGGACATTCCGATTTTTATACTCCAAAATACTTGACATCAAAGGGGAAAGATTATAGAGCTAACTGAAGAAATACCATTTTTATGATAAATTACAAAGCTACCACACCTATCTATACAATTAAGAGGTTTTTCTACTTTTAACTGTCAGTTTCCCAGGGGTTGCTACACATTTAAGATCTATTGTCCAAGGTTTTCATTTTCATTAACTGAATCATAAATATCCTCTCCAATATAGAATAGTATACTTAAAAAAAAAAAAAAGTGGGGTGCCTGGGTGGCTCAGTTGGTTGAGCATCCTAGTCTTGGTTTCCACCCAGGTCATGATCTCTCGGTTGGGTTGGTAAATTTGAGTCCCACATCCAGATCTGTGCTGACATCCGGAGCTTGCTTGGGATTCTGTCTCCCTTTCTTTCTGCCCCTTCTCTGCTTGCTCGCGCTCTCTAAAATAAACTTTTTTAAAATAAGAAAAAAATAAAAATAACACTATGCTTACTGGACACCCAAACATTTCCAAGACCTTATAAATTGGGGGGGGCGGGGTGAGGGGAGCCAATTTGTTAAGTAGATTTCACATGTAATGAAATCATTAAAGATATTCTCTACTTCATTTACAGCAGTAAATGCTATTTAGTCTTCAAAAGGTCTTAAGACTGTCAAATTCTCGTGCTCCAGAGGACTCTCTCTAGATTATCTGTTATTTTAAAGACAGTTAAATAATCCGGAAGCTACCCACCCGCCGCCCATCCTTGGGGTTCTTAATTTCCATTATACAATTACATTTAATAACAATGCACTTCATAGCTTCCAAACTACACTAGGAAGGAGGTGGGGCCGACTATTTTCTTCTGAATGAACGGGCAGAGGGTTCGAGCCTGGGCTACTCAGGAGAGATACACAGGTCAGTTTAGTCTTTACACAACCTGCCAGACGCCGTGACTCACGTCTGAAGCAAAGCAGTGGCCATGTAGCTGACAATCTGTAGCCAGGCCCAGGCCTCACCGTACTTCACCTCTCCCACACAAGCCCCTGCTGGACACCGCCTCGGGAGAGACTCACTCAGAAGGCCTGAGGGTTGGGGCAGAGATCTGAGCCCATCCTGACCCTCCAACAGGCCAAAACCAGGACCTCACCACACACATGTGAAAAGCAGCAGCACCCAGGCCGTAAAGCCTGCCGGGCCGCAATGACCGCTGGGATCAAGAGGCGCAGCTTCTTGCGCAAATCTCCTGCGTCGCTGCATTGACGTCAGCGGAGCTACCCGGAGCAGGTAGCCCCTCCCGAAGGGGCTGGGCCAACCTGGGAGGAAAGCTGGCAGCACTTTTGCCTTGTGCTCTCAGCTCAGGCACCTGTTTTGATCAAGTTGGATTTTGGACAGGATTTACAAAGACTTTGGAGCTGACCAGCGTGGAACTGTACCAAGAAACTCTGGCAAAGCACTTTAATTCAGAGTTCCTTGTCCACAAAGTGGAGAGACAGATATTGCCTAGGGTTGATGTAAAGGAAGATGAAATAGTTGTGAAACGCAATAGAAAGTGGACTTAATGCGGGGCGCCTCGGTGCTCAGCTGGTTAAACGTCCGACTTCGGTTTAGGTCATGATCTCAGGGCTTTTGAGTTTGAGCCCCTGTAGGGCTCTCTGTCATGACAGCACAGAGCCTGGACCTGCTTTGGATTGTGTGTCTCCCTCCCTGTCTGTCCCTCCTCTGTTCCCTCTCTCTCAAATAATCGTTAAAAAAAAAAAAAAAAAGTGGACTTAATCCATGCTACATTGTCTGGGAATCTGCGGTAGTTTAGGAGATTGACTCCTGCAATGAAGCCTGCAAAGGGGGCCTCTGTCATAATTTGGCTAACATTTTAATTGGAAGAGACAAATTTTAAATGACTAAAAAATTTTCAGTTTCTAATAGGAGCAAAAAATAAAACCAGGTATGAGTGGGAAAGTGACCTAAGCTACACGCCTGAAGAATTGGTTTCTAAGTTATCATTGGAGATGTCTATTAGAAGTGTCAAAGAAAGAATACTATTTTTAAGCTACTCTGCAATAGCAGAAAGGAAATTATTTATTTCTGAAGGACTGAGAAAGCAGCCCAGCATGGACAACCATACATGAAAAATCATGAGACACCCTTGTGTCCTTAGAGGTCAGTGGCAAAAGACTAGCAGTAATCCAAACAAGAGATAGCTCCACTAGCTCATGATACTTTCACTCACACGTACCACATGCTACTCAAACTATCAGGTTTTTTGGGGTTTGTTTTTTGTCTTTTGGTTTTTTTTTTTTAGGGGGAAGGGGCTATTCCCAAACATGTTTCTGTATTTGGGAATGATACCATCATCCACCCAGCCAACAAAGAAACCTAGACAAACCTCTCGTATACCCAACCAGACCCTAGGTCTTCAGTCCCTAATCTCAATGTCTCACTGCTGTGGTGATGTTAGGTCCAGGAATCTGTACTTATCCCCAGAGGTTCTGAATTAGTTTTCTACAGAGGGACCTACAATCTGCATTTAAAAATTGCTCTTATCTTCATTTCCACTACTGCTACCTTAGTTCAGGTCTTCTTGGTCAGTTTTTCCCTAGAGCTTTTCCAGTCTTGCTTGGCTCCAACTCTGAATTGCTGCCAGAGTGATGTAGGTTTTATTATTTCATCATCACCTTTCAACTCTGATGTTAATGGTAGTTTTCTTTTTAGTTGTTTTTTCCCCTTGTAGGGTATACTTTTGTCTTCTTTAGTTGGTCTCAGACACCATCTTTCATGTTAGGAGCTTCCTGGGATGTCTGGTAATTGAGTTATCTGCACATATATTTAAAAGTGATTGCAAGCAGTCTGTGGGACAAGTTCATTGAAAATCAAGTTGAGGGAAAAGGGCTGTGTATATGGGAGTGGGGAGAAGTGTCTCAACTGAGTATAAATTTTGTTTCAGGTGGCTGTTATCCTCTAATACAAAGACATTGTTTCACTCTTTCATGAACAGACTTCAGGATTAAGCTGCAGGGGTGATGGACAGTGGCATAAAGATATAACTGATTCCTAAATGACCTTCCATTCCTTTTAGTTACCCTTGTCACCCCCTTTTCCAGAAGTCAACTTTTCCAGAAGTTTGCAGGTTTTTAAGGGGTTCTGTGATGTAAATAGGATTGTTTATTGGCTTTGCTCCGTGCTGACTTAGAATTCAGCTTTTTCCAGGGGTTCCTGGGTGCTTCAGTCAGTTAGGTCTTCGATTCTGGATTTTGGCTCAGGCCATGATCAGTTTATGGGACAGAGCCCCATGTAGGGCTCCATGCTGACAGCTTGGAGCCTGCTTGGGATGCTCTCTACCTCAACCCGTGCGCACACTCGGTCTCAAAATATATATCAATTCAGCTTTTCCAACTCAGCTGAGCCCTTGGCTTTTGATTCCGGAATTTTATGTTATCTTTTCCTCTATCCTTAAGAGTTTGGGACTCCTCAATCCCTTTAATAATATTTTCAAAGGGGCTTAAGAGGAACCAAACGCAGAAGGCAATGTTCAAGACACCATTTTTACCTGGTAATCTAGAGTAATTCTAAAACATAAATCAGATTAATCATAGCATTCTCCTGCTTAAGGCCTCTTTCAGCTGTCCCTCATTGCCTGCAGGACAGTCAGACTCTTTACCAAGATAAACAAGATGGTTCATTATCTTTCTAGCCCTGTCACAGTGGGCCACTGTTCCCCCACCCTCCATGTTCCTCATACCTGGTCCTGTAAGCTCCAGCTATAAGGAAGCCCTAGTAAATCTGAATATACCAAGCCCTTATCAAGTTTCCACACCTGTGTTTTGGCTAGGTCTCAAACTAAAATACCCTTTCTTCTCCCTGTGCCTGCTTGATGATCATTAACCCCTCAAGAAAACACAGCTTAAACATCATTACCTCCTCGGTGCCTTTCTTCAAGCCTTGTATCGGAATTTACCCATCTTCCTCCACCATCCCATGAACCCAGCATATTGTTGGGAGTAACACTCTGCCATAGGCCTGAATGTCCTTGCAAATTCTTGCAGGGCATGCCAAAAACACAAGGTATTGATTGCTTTTTATCCAGGTCATTTTTCAGGGTTGTTTGGGGTGACAGATCTTCAGAGCTGAGGTTATGCTTTTCCAAGGAGCAGGCTCGCTTCCATTTCCTATAAAAGCGTATCTCCCAAATGTAGTATTCCTTTCTTGTAACACGACCTATTGCATGTGCAGACATCCATCTCTGTCTGACTCCATCAGCCCAGTGGGACTTGGGAGGCAGAGGAACTGACAAATGAAGCTCTGGCCACTGGTTTGCCTTCAGTAATAAATTTCTCTTTGACCCAGCAATCTCATGTCTGCTGCCACAAAACTGTTAACAGGCTAGCATAGGAGCTTTTCACTACGATAAATCTTTGGACCCTTCTCAAATGGGGAATTATTTCTCACAGAACCTACCAACAGCTGCATTATTAAGTAGGCTCCATGCCCAATGTAGGGTTTGAACTCACAACCCGGAGATCAACGAGTGGGGATCAAAACTTAGACACTTAACTGAGCCACTCAGGCACCCAACTGCATTATTTCTAAGTTTGAGTTCTTATACTAGTTAAGTACCTTGAAAGCAGAATTTCAGTTTTCTTTTTTAATCTCTGGGATGCAGCAAAAGTTGTTTTTTACTCTATAATTTATGTATTATTTTCTAGTTTACATCCAAGTTAGTTAGCACATGGTGCAACAATGATTTCAGGAGTAGATTCCTTAAGCCCTTTACCCATTTAGCCCATCCCCCCTTTCACAACCGTTCCAGCAACTCTTTGTTCTCTAAATTTAAAGAGTCTCTTGGGGTGCCTGCGTGGCTCAGTCGGTTAAGCGTCCAGCTTCAGCTCAGGTCATGAAGTCGCGGTTCATGGGTTTGAGCCCTGCATCAGGTTCTGTGCTGACAGCTGGCTCAGAGCCTGGAGCCTGTTTTAGATTCTATTATCTCCCTCTCTCTGACTGTCCCCTGCTCACAAGATCTCACACTCAGAGAAAAAAAAAAGGGGGGGGGGGAAAGTCTGTTTTGTCTCCCTCCCTATTTATATTATTTTTGCTTCCCTTCCCTTATGTTCATCTGTTTTGTATCTTAAAGCCCTTATGAGTGAAGTTGTATTACATCTGTCTTTTTCTGATGAATGTTGTTTGGCATAATACCCTCTAATTCCACCCACATAGTTACAAATGTCAAGATTTTAATCTTTTTAATTGCCTAATAATAGTCCATTGTATATATATACCACATCTTTGTTATTCATTCACCCACCAATGGACATTTGGACCCGTTCCATACGTTGGCTACTGCCGATAGTGCTGCTATAAACATTTGGGTGCATGTATCCCTTCAAAACATCATCAGGTCTTTTTTTTTTTTTTTTTTTTTTTTTTAAGTAGGCTTTATGCCCAGCAGAGCCCAACATGGGGCTGGAACTCACAACTCTGAGATCAAGAGTCAGATGCTTAACTGACTGAGCCATCCAGCTGCCCCAAGTTTCATGTCTTACATACCGGTTTCCCCAACTATCTTTTTACTCTTCTCCCATCCACTACATTAGTTCCTGGGAAGTATCAAATACCTACCCTAGATTCTTGCTGATCCTTTGCATGTTTGTTAGTATGTTTTAATTTCACTACTTCTCTAATCCCCCCACTCACCTCACTTGTCAATGTCATTTATTAAAAAAATTCAAAAACGAATTTTTAGTATCCCTGACCCTACCTTCAATGTGTGGGTTTTCCATCCACCACACAAATAACTCAGGAACGGCCAGCTGGAAGAAATGCAGAGGACAAGGTATGTGGAAGGGAGCAAGAAGCTACCATGCTCTACAGGCCTGCCACTCACTCAAGTCTCCGTGTCACCAACAAGGAAGCTCTCCAAACCTCCTCCTTCTGGGTTTTTATAAAGGCTTAATTATGATGGCATGATTGGTCACATCACTGATTTAACCTGTAGCTCCCTCCTCTCCCTAAGAGTCAAGGCAGTAGAGCTAAATGGTCAACCCCCTAATCACATATTTAGTTCCCCTGGCAACTAGCCCCTATTAGATGCTTTCAGAAAGTCAACAAATTAATATCAAATCAGGTGTGGTTGAAGGGAATTTGTTATGAATATCAAGACATCTTTGAGACAAACCAAAAACACTTCTAACTATAGAGAACAG